CAGGCAGGCAGGCAGGCAGGCAGGCCTCCGTCATCCAGGAGGAACGAAAGGGAGAGCACGTGCTGATGACCGGGCCATGGCGGAGGGCCATTAATTGGCCGAATCGACGACACATACAGTTCTCCACGGTTGGTCGGACGCGTCCAAAGAGGAACAACGAACTAGGCATTTATTTCGTGCGAACAAATTCGCAGGCGCGGTGTAATTGGCGTGGTTTTAGCTTAGTGCTTCGTGGACCGATGGTGGATCGAAGGAAGCCCCGGAATAGCAAGATGAAACGGTCTGTCTCGCCCGGAGCGACTGGTCTATCGTCGCTCGTATAATTGGAACTCAAAGGCTATCGCTGGCTAAATAAGCAAGCACACAGCGGACATAGATATCGTGGCTATCGCCATTCCGGTATCGTCTGATCGTGTAACCTGGTTGAATCGAGCCGAATCGATCGGTGAAACGATCAACTACTGTCCCTCTCGATTCGTCTTTTCATCGTGGACTATGCCAGGTAGTCTATAGTTTCTCCGTCTTGTACTACTACCCGCAGTGTCTGAATGCCATCGAGGTGGTTTGCCCGTGGCCTTTGAACACTGTTCACGGTGGTGATTCTCTGGTCTAGAAGCTACAGAGTCTGAGACATAGATTATAGGTGAAACAGGTGAAACAGACGTTCCGCGGTGGATCTCTTGGCTTACGACTTACTTTCAGCGGGTATCGTGTCGACGAGGAAGCGAATCCGAGAAACGGTCGTCGTCGAGAGGACTCTTGTCGTCGGGGCTACATGAAACTCTACTTGTCGTCTAGGACGTCGTGGAAACAACGTCGTTCGTAGACTCCCGGGAAGCACACCGGGACGTCTGGAAACGGGAACACGATGACGCGTGGTATCCCGAGCCTGCTAATAGAAATGGGAATTCGTGGTAAAGGGGAGTCGAGGCCGACTCAAAGCGTACATATGCAAAATAAACAGAGCGGTCCCGTCTTCACAGGAGACTCGCAAACACATCGATGATTGATTAACACACAGTCGGCTCGATCCAACCGCGTTCCCGTTTGGTTATTGGTCCTGGCCCGACTCCTTGCATATGCAATTGCTCCCAATGCCGGCGTATCATGTTAATTGCGTTTGCCCTCGCCTCTTCTGGCTTCAGAGCCAACGCTACCGTTGATTGAAGCTGAAAATCGCATTACATAGCTAAATACACGCTTTTGTTAAGACGTTGTATACACACACACACACACACACACACACACACACTTTTACCTAAGAAAACTCTCCGACGTGTAACCAGGAAAAATTGAATGTTTCTAAGAAGCATTCAATCCTCTGCTTTACGAGTTCGTCACTTTATCAGATTTCTTTCTCTTTGGCATAAGGTTCATTTCTGGTTCTTATACCTCATAAATACGGTCAACTTGTGAATTGTTTCTCCGCGAGACTGGAATTCCTTCGTGAATGTAGGGAATGTCGGCGCATTTCGCGTTCCACGGCGGCAATAAAGACACTGAAAAGAATTTTACATTGAATCGGAAAAGCGATCGCGTGCCTGAGACTGACAATGACTGACAATAAGCCGTATCGTTCCTCTGGCACGGTCACGAGGAATTCGTAGCATGCAACTGGATCGACGGATCCGATTAAAACACGGCCGTACAAACTTGAGAACTTTCGGTTTGCAATTGTTCCTCGGCGAGGACACAAAAGGGCTTTTTGTTTGATTGAGGAGTCCGGCCCTTCTCAATGTGGCTTCTCAATGTGGCTTCCGTCAGTTCTACTTGAAAGTCGACTTCTCAAAGGTCTCTAATGAATAGAAGCATTTACTATTCTTCTCTGCGCAGATGTAATTATAAAACCATTCTTTTGTTTCAGCCTCTATTGACGATGGAGGAACGTCCGTTCGTCGGGACCGAGGCCCCATTGTACCCCCGACGTTCCTAGTCATTCCGATTTAAATTACACTACGCTTGTCGCACGCTCCTGATTCTTCGACCTCGCGTCGGATCTCCGCCAAATTATACGCGACACATTCTTTCTCGCAAATAAACACATGTCCCTTAGATGTCAATAGGAAATTCTTACAGAGTTTCCGTTGAAATTAATTCAGTTAAAGGGACAAGATAAGTTCAATTCAACTCGCAGAGACCTACTTTCACAAAGCTGCTCAATCATCTCTTTGATCGTTTGCCCCAGAGTATCCTTGTTGAATATCAATCGTCGGGAAAATAAGGGTTGTAAAACGGCAGTTGGAATTCGAGAACGAAGCCCGGATGGAATTCGGGCGGAGTTAAAACGGGCGAGAGGTGCCGTTTTAACGAGATTTCCAGAATCGAATCCAGGTTCGATCCGTTTCAGCGTGAAACTTTGTCAAAGTCAAAGGGCCGCGGACCCGCGGTTTACAGTCAAAGAATTACACGTTACACAGTGGAGCACGTTGGCTGGGAACACACTGTTAGCGTAATAAGTTTTCTCCAACGTTCCTGGCCACAATTAGAATTCCTTTCTTTCCGAGAGAGTTTCGTTCCGCGGACGGTTCAAAGCGGACGGGGCCGAACCGCGCATGCAGCAAAGGAAAAGCCTTCGTCATTTACGATCGGGGCTTTACGCGCGCAGCGACACGTGTTTCCGGTTCGCGAAATGTTAACTCTTTGGCCTCGAACGCGATTCGTACCTTGATCACGGATATGTGGAACTTGGCATTTTGCCGATAGCCGGGATCAAAGCACACGTATGAATATGTCCCAAGAGCCGCAGGCCGATTTTTACGGGCCCTGTTGTTTATTTGGCCGCGACACCGACTGCATAAAACACGCTCCATTAGCATGCTTTTATTACGCGACGTTGGATAGCCGTACACGCGAATTAATATCAATCCGCGCTAGACCTGGCTATCGTCGATGCGGCGGGTTAATTAAAAATTATTGTTACATCCCGAATTGTAAATCTGCCAATTTTCGTTGCACGTCAAATTTCAGCATACACGTCGCTGAAGAAAAATACGCACTGATTGATATTTCGATAATCTCGCGCTCTGGTTCCCCGTTGAAATTCTGCTCACTTTTTGCACCAAATTTTGCTCTGCCCGATCTACCGCGCAGATCAGATCCAGTTGATAATTGAAAATTAGTAGAAAGATCCTCTCTTGTCACTTGTTACTGACAATGAGTTACAATTGCTTTCGACTGGTGAAGTAAGTTAACGTGCCCAAGTATCCTTGTCGATGCGACATTAAAATCTAACTTTGAGTCTCTTGTCCGATTCTTTCTGCAATGCCGCAACTAATTCAATTTACCGTGGCAAATTAATTTAAAGGATCCTCTGGTAAAAAAAAAAAATTTCCCTCCTCGAAGCAACTCTCCGCTGGCTAATATCCGTGTCGTCCGCGAAGAGGAAAGAGGTAGAAGAGAGATTGAGAGAGAGACAGCATCCCTGTCGCAGAGTGTTTTCGCGTGTTGGCAAACGACGCGTGTCACGAGCCAGCATTTTGCATCGTTAAAAGAGCAATCTGGCCTCGTCCATCGTGCTCGTATCCACCGAGTGGTGGGCCGTGATGGTCGATCCTGCGGGCAAAGTTGGCTGAAATCTCGCCGGGTATTGTCCAGGAACGGTGTCGCCGGTCGTTCCGGGGCGAGGGGACGATTGTTTCCGGTAACGAGCGTTTCGCGGCGTGATTGCCCGCTCGAAGACGTCGTTCTCCCGGCGTAAAGAACGCGGCCGAGGGAGAACGCGCAGGCGGTGAAAATGTACGCGTCCAAACGGGGCGGTGGGAGGGAGGGAGGGAGGGGGAGGGGAGAGGAAGGAAGGTAACCAGCGTCGTTTGAACCAGCAACAGGAATAGCGTTCTGTCTGTTCCTTTATTATAAAGCGAGCGCGAGCCTTTGAAACGTGATCAAACGTGACCGTGAAGCTGACAGGGGGAAACGGAAAGGAGACGGACGTATGACGTATGACGAAGATCAACGAGCACTAGCCGTCGGTGTCGTTGAGGATCGTGCTTGTCCCGAAATTTCCGTGGCGATTTATCGGCCAGCGAAAACCTCCTCCTGGTCCTGTTCCGCGTACCGGCGGCGATTAATTCGCGCGTAATTGACGGGGCAATTAGCGGCGCCACGCGTGGGCGTATTCTTGCACTGTTTGTCGCCCCATTGAGCCAGAGATTTCGGTTGCCTGTGCTGAATTCAGATTTCCACGTGAGTTTCAATTTGTCCTCCCTCCCTCCCCTCTCTTCTCCGCGTGGAAAGCGGTTTTTCAGCGTGATTTACTGCATTACCGCCATTGTAAAGCGGATTTCCATGTTACGCACGATATTAAAAAGTATCGAGTAACTACAGCGGAAGGTAGAACAGCGTATTCGAATCCCTCGTTAATTTAGTGAAATTATGAAACGCAGTTTTGTTAATTTTTTTGGCTTTCGTTACAAAGAGGTACGAATGATATTTAATATGCTATATTACCGATACTGAACCACTACTTTCTAAATGTAGTGTCATTCATCAAAGGACATATCGACCAACAGTCTGTTTCATTCGTTCGTCGTTCTCACTCGAAAAGAATAGTTGAGCTTGAAATTGAGTCGCAATAAAATTTGGCCTAGGCGGAGGCAGGCACGAACGAGGAGGGCGGGTGGAACCGATTGAAATATGCGGGAGCGAGGTATACCTGGTTCTAGACGGTGTGGACACGGATGCCGATAAAACGGAAAGGGGAAAAATTGGAGTGGTCCGAGCGCGCCTGGTTACGAGATTCCCGGCCGATTGAAACCGCGCGGCTCGTACGCTCGCACGCTCGTACACGCCAGGTCGCTGCTGGTGCGTCGAGCCGTGACGGAAAATTAGTTAAGTGGGCATTATTAATGAGTTTTGTCGGTCCACTGAAAGCTACAGATTGTACGACACGCGTATTAACGAGTCGGCGCCAAACAGTTTTTACGTAACGTATGTACAACGACACGCGTCCGATCTAAGTATTAGACTTATACATAGTCTACCGGGCAGTCTACATTGCCGATCTCTTACTTTCCTACGTGCCGTGCGCCAGACACGAAACGATCACATAGAATGTGTCTTTCCCCCCACTTTTACTATCCCCCTACGTTAAAAACGCGGTATCTGTCAATACAAAATGTCGCAACCGGTGCCCGGTGCGGCATGGATCGGCAAATTATCGAGCTTAGCGCCGTGGAACTGGACGGAGATCAACATCCTTCGCTTCGGTGACGCGGTTCTAATCGATCGCGTTGCACGCAAGAATTTCTCGATTGGACCGTTTATAGCGCTCTCCTTCGCAAAGGTGGAAACAGCAAGGGAGAAAAGAATGTATAATCGACGTTTGTATGTGTGTGTGTAGGTTCAATGACCGCTGACGTTGGAATTTTTAACGTCCATTTTAACGTACACGTATAAGAGAAGGTATGTACATACGTGGGAGAAGGAAATGGTTGTTGCACGGTTTTTGCCTGGTCTTCCACTTTTGCTTCTTGCTGTTTTAATGAGCGGCGGATCGGAGAAGCGCAATGGGGAAAAATAATTCCCCGGTAGCCTGAGAAGCAAAGTTAGTAAAGATCCGGCGACAACACGAGGAAAGTTTTAGACGGCGAGCTGTAAGTGCAAACGTTAATATCGTTAGTCGCGTTCAGCCGGCTTCTTTTAACCGCCTTGCCCGGTTGAATTACACACGGCAATTCGCGAAATTCAATTCGCGGTCTC